ACTTCTCACTATATCTTTCACTTCTCAGTATATCTTTCACTTCTCTGTATTTCTTTCACTTTTCTGTATATCTTTCACTTCTCTGTATATCTTTCACTTCTCTGTATTTCTTTCACTTTTCTGTATATCTTTCACTTCTCTGTATATCTTTCACTTTTCTGTATATCTTTCATTTCTCTGTATATCTTTCTCTTCTCAGTATATCTTTCCCTTCTCAGTATATCTTTCTCTTCTCAGTATATCTTTCACTTCTCAGTATATCTTTCATTTCTAAGTATATCTCTCACTTCTCAGTATATCTTTCATTTCTAAGTATATCTTTCACTTCTAACTATATCTTTCTCTTCTCAGTATAGCTTTCACCTCTCAGTATATCTGTCACTTCTCACTATATCTTTCACTTCTAAGTATATCTTTCACTTCTCTGTATATCTTTCACTTTTCTGTATATCTTTCTCTTCTCAGTATATCTTTCCCTTCTCAGTATATCTTTCTCTTCTCAGTATATCTTTCACTTCTCAGTATATCTCTTTCATTTCTAAGTATATCTCTCTTCTCAGTATATCTTTCATTTCTAAGTTATATCTTTCACTTCTAAGTATATCTTTCTCTTCTCAGTATAGCTTTCACCTCTCAGTATATCTGTCACTTCTCACTATATCTGTCACTTCTCACTCATATCTTTCTGTATTCCTCAGTATATCTTTCACTTCTCTTTGTATTTCTTTCACTTTTCTGTATATCTTTCCTTCTCTGTATATCTTTCACTTTTCTGTATATCTTTCATTTCTCTGTATATCTTTCTCTTCTCAGTATATCTTTCCCTTCTCAGTATATCTTTCTCTTCTCAGTTTTCTGTATATCTTTCTCTTCTCAGTATATCTTTCATTTCTCAGTATATCTTTCACTTCTCAGTATATCTTTCATTTCTAAGTATATCTCTCACTTCTCAGTATATCTTTCATTTCTAAGTATATCTTTCACTTCTCAGCATATCTTTCTCTTCTCAGTATATCTTTCATTTCTAAGTATATCTCTCACTTCTCAGTATATCTTTCACTTCTCAGTACATCTTTCACTTCTAAGTATATCAACAACTCTCACTCTCTCTCTCTTTCTGTGAGGGAATGAGTAACAGCAAACTGTCACAAAATACAGCTGTCAGCAGATGTTTAACTAGACTTTTATGCACTAAATGTTTGGTTTTACGCCGCTTTTAGCAATATTCCAGCAACATCACGGCGGGGGACACCAGAAATGGGCTGTGCCCAGGTGGGGATTCGAACCCGAGTCTTCTGCGTGACGAGCCATCGCTTTAACCACTAGGTTTACCCCACCGCCCCTGCACTGAGTGAGACAACAGGGTATTGTGTAAGACAATCATTATCTTCTTTCCTGGAAACATACCCAGACAGACACCCACAGTTGGGAAGTGATACCCTTATAAGGAAGTCACCCCTTTCATACACTACCACAGTCATTGTTGTATGACCTCCTTATCAGGTTCCCGGTGAAGGTCAAGTCAGTCAAGTGATTCATCCAGTTCACTTGCAAGCTATCAAATGAACATATGTCTGTATTCAGAGCAGCTACTGTCGGGCTACAAGTGTACATTAGAAACAGAATACCGTATTCGATTGGCTAAATGATACAGGCGGTATAATGAATGGACAGTTCAGCCTGGCAATCTTATTGATTGGTACAGATGACCTTGGTACACAACAACACGGTACAGATGACCTTGGTACACAACAACACGGTACAGATGACCTTGGTACATAACAACACGGTACAGATGACCTTGGTACATAACAACACGTAACAGATGACCTTGGTACGCAACACGGTACAGGTGACCTTGGTACACAGTAGGGCTGGGACGGGTGACCCATATACCCGGAACGGGTGGATAATTGGTTGGACAAGGGTACCCGTCTTAATACCCGCACCCGTTATGATCATGTGACTTATAAATTAAACGATGTATTATTCTTTCACGATATAAAGGTGGTAATATCCTCGAAGATTTAGACATAAGTACCGTCACCTCTGTTAAATATAATACATGGTTATGATATAGAAAAACTAGATATGTTAGCCTCCGAGCTGAAGAATATATTGCCATTTGTTACAAACTTGATGTCAGGAATTAGCATAATGGGTATCCGGGTAGGGAAGGGTAATAGGGGGTCGGGTAAACATAGACATTAGCCCTGCAGGGTATAGAAAAGTTGTTACTAATACCTTAGTCCACATTAGCCCCGCAGTGTATTGGGAAGCTAGCTGGTACTCCATACTTTAGTCGACATTAGCACCGCAGGGTATAGGAAAGCCGTTACTCGATACTTTAGTCGACATTAGCCCCGCAGGGTATAGCAAAGCTGGTATTCGATACTTTTGTCGACATCAGCCCCGCAGGGTATAGGAAACCCGTTACTCGATACTTTAGCCGACATTAGCCCCACAAGGTATAGGGAAGCTAGCTGGTACTCGATACTTTAGTCGACATTAGCCCTGCAGTGTGTAGGAAAACATGTACTCGATACTTTAGTCGACATTAGCCCCGCTGGGTGGACATAAACCCAGCTGGGTACTGAGAGGTTGATACTAATACCTTAACATAAGCCCTCCAGGGTACTGAAAGTTTGATACCTATACCTCAACATTAGCCCACCAGGATACTGAAAGGTTGATACTAGTACCTCAACATAAGGCCACCAGGATACTGAAAGGTTGATACTAGCACCTCAACATAAGGCCACCAGAATACTGAAAGGTTGATACTAGTACCTCAACATTAGCCCAGCAGGGTACTGAAAGGTTGATACTAGTACCTCAACATAAGGCCACCAGGGTACTGAAGGGCTGATAGTTATACCTACACATAAGCCCACCAGGGTACTGAAGGGTTGATACTAGTACCTCAACATAAGCCCAGCAGGGTACTGAAGGGCTGATAGTAATACCTCAACATAAGCCCAGCAGGGTACTGAAGGGCTGATAGTTATACCTACACATAAGCCCAGCAGGGTACTGAAGGGCTGATAGTAATACCTACACATAAGCCCAGCAGGGTACTGAAGGGCTGATAGTAATACCTCAACATAAGCCCAGCAGGGTACTGAAGGGCTGATAGTAATACCTCAACATAAGCCCAGCAGGGTACTGAAGGGCTGATAGTAATACCTACACATAAGCCCAGCAGGGTACTGAAGGGCTGATAGTAATACTTCAACATAAGCCCAGCAGGGTACTGAAGGGCTGATAGTAATACCTCAACATAAGCCCACCAGGGTACTGAAGGGCTGATAGTAATACTCAACATAAGCCCAGCAGGGTACTGAAGGGCTGATAGTAATACCTACACATAAGCCCAGCAGGGTACTGAAGGGCTGATAGTAATACTTCAACATAAGCCCAGCAGGGTACTGAAGGGCTGATAGTAATACCTACACATAAGCCCAGCAGGGTACTGAAGGGCTGATAGTAATACCTCAACATAAGCCCAGCAGGGTACTGAAGGGCTGATAGTAATACCTACACATAAGCCTAGCAGGGTACTGGGGCTACTGAAGGGCTGACAGTAATACCTCAACATAAGCCCAGCAGGGTACTGAAGGGCTGACAGTAATACTGAACATAAGCCCAGCAGGGTACTGGGTACTTCAACATAAGCCCAGCAGGGTACTGAAGGGCTGACAGTAATACACACATAAGCCCAGGGGTACTGAAGGGCTGATAGTAATACCTCAACATAAGCCCAGTCAGGGGTACTGAAGGGCTGATAGTAATACTTAACATAAGCCCAGCAGGGTACTGAAGGGCTGACAGTAATACATACACATAAGCCCATCAGGGTACTGAAGGGATGATAGTAATACTTCAACATAAGCCCAGCAGGGTACTGAAGGACTTACAGTAATACCTACACATAAGCCCATCAGGGTACTGAAGGGATGATAGTAATACTTCAACATAAGCCCAGCAGGGTACTGAAGGGCTGACAGTAATACCTACACATAAGCCCATCAGGGTACTGAAGGGCTGATAGTAATACTTCAACATAAGCCCAGCAGGGTACTGAAGGACTTACAGTAATACCTACACATAAGCCCATCAGGGTACTGAAGGACTGATAGTAATACTTCAACATAAGCCCAGCAGGGTACTGAAGGGCTGACAGTAATACCTACACATAAGCCCATCAGGGTACTGAAGGGCTGATAGTAATACCTACACATAAGCCCAGCAGGGTACTGACGGGCTGACAGTAATACCTCAACATAAGCCCAGCAGGGTACTGGAGGGCCTATAGTAATACCTGAACATAAGCCCACCAGGCTACTGAAGGGCTGATAGTAATACTTCAACATAAGCCAAGCAGGGTACTGAAGGACTTACAGTAATACCTACACATAAGCCCATCAGGGTACTGAAGGGCTGATAGTAATACTTCAACATAAGCCCAGCAGGGTACTGAAGGGCTGACAGTAATACCTAAACATAAGCCCACCAGGGTACTGAAGGGCCGATAGTAATACCTACAAATAAGCCCACCAGGGTACTGACGGGCTGATAGTAATACCTCAACATAAGCCCAGCAGGGTACTGAAGGGCTGACAGTAATACCTTAACATAAGCCCAGCAGGGTACTGGAGGGCTGACAGTAATACCTACACATAAGCCCAGCAGGGTACTGAAGGGCTGATAGTACTACATCAACATAAGCCCAGCAGGGTACTGGAGGGCTGACAGTAATACCTACACATAAGCCCAGCAGGGTACTGAAGGGCAGACAGTAATACCTCAGCATAAGCCCAGCAGGGTACTGGAGGGCTGATTGTAATACCTCAACATAAGCCCATCAGGGTACTGAAGGGCCGACAGTAATACCTCAACATAAGCCTAGCAGAGTACTGAAGGACTGACAGTAATACCTCAACATAAGCCTAGCAGGGTACTGGAGGGCTGACAGTAATACCTACACATAAGCAGGGTATCGAACGGCCGTTGTTATGACACGTGTCGAGATAAGCCGCGCTCAGATCTCCTTCCTCCACTCAGTGAATAGAATCCTTTTGGCGACTGGCGGTATACCAGGTGAGTGCTTCCTTGTCCTAACACACCCGCATAAACATACCCTTCGTGCTTGTTGAGCTTGGAAATAATCTCACGGTAACTGATGGTGCCAGGGAGGTTTCGTTCACTTCCATTTCTAGTAGATGAGGTCGGAATGTGAAGACCTCATTTTCACTATCACCTGTTATCGTATTATCGGTAGCCTACCCCCGTGTTTGGTTGGAGTAAGATATGACCAATGTTGTTTAAATACCTAGACATGATCGATTTCCTAACTTGAAAATACGGATGAATTTATTAAGGGGGAATACTCGAAGGTAAACCTGTTCACTTACTGTCTTTGAAGCAAACATAGCTTGTGGTTCAACAGGAATCAATGTGTGTCGATGTGTGACTTTAACTCTAGGCAGCAGGGACTCACACAGTGTGAGTTTAAAACAGGAATCAATGTGTGTCGATGTGTGACTTTAACTCTAGGCAGCAGGGACTCACACAGTGTGAGTTTAAAACAGGAATCAATGTGTGTCGATGTGTGACTTTAACTCTAGGCAGCAGGGACTCACACAGTGTGAGTTTAAAACAGGAATCAATGTGTGTCGATGTGTGACTTTAACTCTAGGCAACAGGGACTGACACCAGGAGTATCGGCATGTCACATATAGAGACATGAACAGATTATACAGCTCTGAAACTAGAACACGGAAATGTTTTCTCGTATCAACAATACCGAGCCCAACCATGGCAGGTTCTTATGTTATGAACTGTGACGCATCCTTTCACGAACCGTACGACAGGATATGTATAACAAACGGCGCACCTTTACAGTATTGTCCAGAACGCAGAGCGGACAAAAACCCAATGCATTGGCTGATTGTCTGTGTAACAGGTTTCCGAAAGTGGCTGTTTGAAAAGAGTGAGTGAGTGAGTGAATGTTTCAGCTCCTCTCATGAGACAAGTAGAGTGTGTGCTATGAATCGCTCCTCGTTTTTTCAAAAATACCATTACCACAAATCTGCGTTCTGAGGTATGCATGTGATTAAGAGTTGGTTGGTTACGATGAACGCCTGTGTTCGAACCCCTGAAAGCACCCAGTGTCATGAATATTACTACAGACGGCCTCCCCCTTATTCACCCTGACATCTCAGGATGATGCACAAATCTCCAACGAAATATCTCAAGAAATGTGTTCTTGGATGTTCTTGGAACAAAGATGTTTGTTCTTGGAAGAAAGATGTTTTTCCCCCTCCTCCGTGCGAGATACAGTTCAACAGATCCATCACTGACATGTATCTCTAATGACACGGATGTCTCTCTCGTAAACGGCCCTACCCTCACTAGACGAACTGGAGCAGCAAGCTAGAATGACGCCAAATGCTTCTTGGACATAGGTCGCATATACACAATTACGTCGGGGAGTGGTGAGGTCACAACAGGGAGACGCCCGGGCTGTGTGGTATGTGTTTGGGTGTCAGCAGAAGACGGATATCATCGGTTAAGGACGGTGCACATAGACATAACAATAATCAGTTCCGCCTTCTGTTGCTACGTGCAGTTTCCTACTCTAAAAATACGGGACAAATTTCATATGAATATTTTCATTTCAATATAAGCATTATTACGTAGGGCTGGCTATCTATATAAATCATAGATATCGATAATCGTTTTCCTAAATATCGATCGATTATCGATGTAACTTGGAGAAGTAACTTTGAGCAAAAATGCCCCAAAAGCGTCTGAAAGAAGTGACTATTGTTCACAGAGCTGGGGAGTGGTGGCATGGGTTACTGATACAAACATCGTTATGAACATAATCTGGAAGTAGGACATCAATAAGAGACTAACTGTGTGTATTATGTGAGTGAGTTCAAACTTTATTCCACAACAAAAGTGTACGATATTATCTACGACACCATTTTCCTGTCGATAATCATGAATGTTTCCTATCGACAATATTTCCGATTATTTACCATGTTAGCCAGCCCTCTAATAACGACTGTTGGTGAAATCATTAGCCTGTGTTATTAACTCTTCCGATTCACTGGGGCTTTTCTTCACATTCACATTGTTCATCCCACTGGTACTCCAGTAACTGGGTTCGTGTTGACTACAGGTTACATTTAATGTAATGCTACAGTTTGCTACAGGTTATTACATTGTCTCTGATGCTACAGATTATACGTGTTCGACTGGTTAGTCTGTAGAAACATCAATGATCTGTAAGTTGGTTTTGGGTTTACATTGAGTGTAATGTGACCGTCAAAGTAGGTAAGATTAATTTTCTACAGCGCTGAATATTTCTGCTGAAATTGTGCATTTTCAGAGGATGTCATGTTAACTATTTTGTTGGATATTTTATCCTACGTATTAAACGCAGTGCCAAGTATCTCGCACCAGGTGGACATTGTTGAATTTCATATTCTCAACAGCGTTCGCTCTGCATCTACTGAGGCTGACATATACTCTCTGTAATTCTATGTTTGGTAAAACAAAATATTCCATTTAAACAGAAGAGGGGCCCATTGAGACGGGAGATTCCGAGTCTGAACCTGGGCACAATTAGGACCTGCTTGGTGTAGATTATTTGCAAGTCAGAAAGACCTGGGGTAAGGAAACCGATATAGGTCAGTGCCTGTGAGACAGGCTAAGTAAGGCGGGTCTTCTACATCTGTGTGACAAATTGGCTCAGTTAATGATCCTTCACTGGAAACCTGTGAAACTGTTTATCGATCATCAAAAACTGACACAGTCACCAGTGATTTAAAACAACGCACAGCGGCTGTACGGAGTGACACTCAGGCCTTAAGTATCAAAACAGCTCGTGCTGGGTCAAGGTGACCTGACCTCCATTTATTAAAGCTCTAACGCTTTTCGTGCAGTATTTTACACACTCCGTTACATCGGTACATATCTCATCAAGGCAAGAACGATTCTGGAAACATGGCGCGCGTAGATTCTTATGTTTTTACAATAAGAAACGATTCATATTATAATCTGTACATGTATCTTTATTTGTCAGTATACGGTGATAAAAGGCTTTTTGTCATTTGTTAACGTATTCGGCACAACATGAATGCAATGTACACTCCTCTTTGATTGACATCGGAACCTTCCGTGATCGAATCACATGTTCACGAGACAATGGGGTGCAGACACTAGAACCATGGCCACTGCACACAGGCAAATGTGTACACCTGATCTGTGCAATAGGTAATGGAATATATGATCGTTGTACAATTGCGCTTACGCAAACTGTACGTTGTGTACAAGTACAGCTATACATGCAGAAACTACAGGCCCCGATTTCTCGAAACAAACTTAAGTCTGAGTTTTTACTCAAAATTTAGAAAACGCATGTCCCTGAATGAAATAGAATAGATAGTAATCAAACGGTAGACAATTTGAGAATAATTAAGTTGTTTGGGCTTTTTATTTTAAACATGCAGCTGAGTTAAAAATTCAGCTGTTTAAAATTGTCAAACTTGAGTAAAAACTTAAATTTGTTCCGAGAAATCGGGGCCAGGTGTAAGTAGGTATATGTGTGTCACGTGACACTAGATGTGCTACTGATCATATGGCTGGTCACCGGTTGTACATATACACGTAAACAAAGACATGAAGACATGAAGCCTTCTGTATGAAGGTAGGATAACCAACTATGGTACAATAAACGATATTGTCCTCACTGACTATAGTATAGTCCGTTCAAACGGCTGCATGAACGTTGATATACATATCAACATATATATATATATGTGACACAGATATACAACACTTGACCCGACATCTGGGAAACACGTTCTGACACCGGGTGTCCTAGAATAGTGCATGAACTAAGCAGATGGTTTACACACTACATAACACACACTGCCTCATCTGCTGCCCTACTGGTCACACTATCTGACACAGAGAGAATCCCTGACTGTAAAATGTGTGTATGATGGTCTCGTTAAAGTGTAGCATCCGTGTCTATATAGACTCTGTATGCATCTACCCCTTATACATCTGGCCCTGGTTGACTGTACACATTACACACCCCTTATACACCTGACCCTGGTTGACTGTACACACTACACACCCCTTATACACCTGACCCTGGTTGACTGTACACACTACACATCCCTTATACACCTGACTCTGGTTGACTGTACACACTACACACCCCTTATATACCTGGCCCTGGTTGACTGTACACACTACACACCCCTTATACACCTGGCCCTGGTTGACTGTACACACTACACACCCCTTATACACCTGACTCTGGTTGACTGTACACATTACACACCCCTTATACACCTGGCCCTGGTTGACTGTACACACTACACGTCCCTTATACACCTGACCCTGGTTGACTGTACACATTACACACCCCTTATACACCTGACCCTGGTTGACTGTACACACTACACACCCCTTATACACCTGGCCCTGGTTGACTGTACACACTACACATCCCTTATACACCTGGCCCTGGTTGACTGTACACACTACACACCTTATACACCTGACTCTGGTTGACTGTACACATTACACACCCCTTATACACCTGGCCCTGGTTGACTGTACACACTACACATCCCTTATACACCTGACCCTGGTTGACTGTACACATTACACACCCCTGATACACCTGACCCTGGTTGACTGTACACACTACACACCCCTTATACACCTGGCCCTGGTTGACTGTACACACTACACATCCCTTTATACACCTGACCCTGGTTGACTGTACACATTACACACCCCTTATACACCTGGCCCTGGTTGACTGTACACACTACACATCCCTTTATACACCTGACCCTGGTTGACTGTACACATTACACCCCTACACACTGGCCCTGGTTGACTGTACACACTACACATCCCTTATACACCTGGCCCTGGTTGACTGTACACACTACACATCCCTTATACACCTGGCCCTGGTTGACTGTACCCCCCCTTTATATACCTGGCCCTGGTTGACTGTACACACTACACACCCCTTATACACCTGACTCTGGTTGACTGTACAC